AGATAGAGATAGATAGATAGATAGATAGATAGAGATAGATAGAAAGATAGATAGAGATAGATAGATAGATAGAGATAGATAGATAGATAGATAGAGATAGATAGATAGATAGAGAGAGATAGATAGAGATAGATAGATAGAGATAATAGATAGATAGATAGATAGATAGATAGATAGATAGAATAGATAGATAGAGAGAGAGAACGTGTGTGTTAGTTATGACGACTGCTTCGTACATGAGCGGTCCCACGTTAGCAGGTAACCCGTCGCTAAAACGCGTACAAACGTATTCAAACATAGAAGCACGCACGCACGCACGCACGCACGCACGCGTACACAGACGAACGAACGACATTCGGACAATAAAATGAATTTTATTACTTGATTTTATTGACGTTTCTACCACTAATAAATAGAAACTTTTGAAAATGTACATTAATAATAAATTCTTTGCAGCCGTCCTTGGCCCCACAGATCACATACGGGGCGAGGGGAGGAGGGAGGGGGAGAAATAGACGAGGTGTATCTACAAAATAAATCTTTTGGAAAACTAGTTCTCGCGATAATCCCCAGATGGCGCTATCATCGCGAAGACAACATCACAGGGGGAGGGGGCGGCGGGGGAGGGAGGGAGGTAGGAGGGGGACAGAAGGCGTGATCTGTGGGGTGGGGGGTGGGGGTTAGGAAATAAAGCTGCCTCGACGGTTGCTATGATGCTCACTTGTTCATGTTTTAACTTACATTATTTCCGTCTAAGTCTATTGCATATACAGTGTCTATCAATAAAGTCTATGTGTAAAAATTTGTACAAGTTGATCCGTACGTCTCGACACCAACGATTCGTGAGGGGAGGGGACAGACATTATTCTAAAATGTATTTTCTAATCAAATGATAAAAGTCGATCGCGTCTCATTCTGTCGCTTTCTCACTGAAAGAATGCGTGCACGCATGGTGGTGGCCAGAGCAACTGAAGTCAACTGTTATTCTGTCGCTCACTCACTCGCTGACTCTCTCACTCACTCACTCACTCACACGCTCA